CAGCAGCCAGATGAGCACAAGCCTAGAATATATCTGCATCTAAAGATTTTATCTAGAAGGCCAGGTTTAAACACTCTTTTTTTCATCCCTCCAACAGAAGTCAACAGGACAATGTCCCACAACAGTGGGAATGTTGAATTCAATTAATTATTTTTCACCAGCCCAACCATACGTTAGTTCAGTTTAGAGCTACTAGTTTTGGCCTACATATATAGGTATATACGTATATTTAGGTTGGAATTTTCTGAATGACTTTGATTAATGACCATCTATTAGTTGTCTGGATTTTGCAGCCCAGACTTGATATTCATACCTGTAACTTTCCTTTTGAAATAAGTAATTAATGAATAACTTAAACTCTGCTTTTAAAGGACCATAAAACACATTGCTTTGCATATTTCTCCAGAAACTAGTCCCACCTAGTTGCAAGGACATTATACCTTTTTATAAACAGCATTAGACATCCACAGCTGAACTGTAACTGAAAGTCTATTCATTTCCTTCTGATTCCTGTCATATTTAGTGAAAAAAACAAATTAGAAAGAGAAAAAAATGTAATAACATTTTCTTGGTCTTGTTACTTGGTCCCTTGAATGTATTGTACAAAATACTGACACTGATTTTTCTTGCTTACTGGGATCATGGATAAATGATCAATACTGCTACCCTTCAAAAAGACCCCGACTATGTATCAGAATGGTGAAACAAATGGCAACTTCAAATCTCAACAAATAAATGCTCTATCTTACATATTGGCAAAAAAAATCAGAAAATAAAATACAGGCTGAATAGTCAAGACCTTGTTGATGATCCAAACTCTGTCAAGGATCTTGGAGTACTCATCTCTAATGATCTAAGTGCTAGAGCCCACTGTAACTACATAGCCAAAAAGGCATTAAGAGTTGCTAATCTAATCTTACGTAGCTTTTTTGCTGATAATATTACACAACTAACTAGAACATACAAAACATTTGCTAGACTAATATTCGAATACAGCTCATCAGTCTGGAACTTGCATTACATATTTGATATTAACACAGTTGAGAAATATTTCACAAGAAGAGTTCTCCACTCCTCTACTTGTTGCAGAATACTTTACGCCACCAGACTTGAAATTCTAGACCTAGAAAACCTAGAACTACGCTGCCTTCGGTCCGATCTAAGTATAGTATGTAAAATCATACATTGCAATGTCCTACCTGTCAATGAATACTTCAGCTTCAACCATAACAATACAAGAGCAAGCAATAGATACAAACTCAAGGTTAATCGCACCAAACTTGATTGCAGGAAATACGACTTCAGCAACAGAGTGGTCAGTGTCTGGAATACCCTACCTGACTCTGTGGTTTCTTCCCCAAACTCCAAAAACTTTAACTTTAGACTTTCTACTAATGACCTCACCCCTTTACTAAGAGATTTGTAGGGGGCGTGCATAAACGCACCAACGTGCCTACCATCCCTGTCCTATTGTTTCTTTTATTTTTCTTATATGTATCCATGTATTCATAACTATGTTTTTACTTATACATATTATCTTGTAAGCAATTGACAAACCAAATAAAATAAATAAAATAAATAAATAAATAAATAAAGCCATTTGAAAATTATTCCTTGGTACAGAAAAGATAATCAATTTTTGTTTCTTATTAGCCATCAAATTATGTTGCAAAATTTGCAACCAAATTTGTTAATTTGCATAGGTTAGTAGGGGTTGGGATTTTTTGGCAGTGTAAAACACCTGATTTTCAGTTTGCTCAACATTTCCTAGACAAGAGAATATGCTTTTAATGTACCTTACTTTATTCATCATTTTGGTGTACTTTGCCTTATTAATTTATTTATTCAATTTTGATACCACCCAGTTTTGACTGCCAAACCATGCTCTGGAAGTATTGCACCAAAGAACTGGAAAGAAAAAACACCCTCCAATGATTTAAAAATAATATAATTATTGACCAATTAAAAATTATCAGTTAAAAATTATCAGGCTAAACAGAAAACCAAAAATTCTCTCCTTGTTAGGGTAGTTTTGCCTAAAATGTGACTTTTAGCTAGTTTGGATTATTGAATTTTATTTTATTTTTGTCCCTCAATAGCTTCAACTATTTCAAAGACTCAGAAATTGCAGGTAATGCTTTGCAGCTTGGATGGAATTTTACTAAACTCTCTGCCCTCATTATATTTCTGCTACTATATAGCCCAGGTTAAAAGATTACAAATTATCCCTCCCTTATTTCTCTCCAATAGCAAGAATTTTGTGGGATCAACCCACCAATGCCGCTAAAAAGAATTATAATAGGTCTGAGAAATGCTGATGAATTGAAAACTTTGAATTAAAGATTTACCTTGTGGGACATTAAATGAGGCTGGTGACTATGCCCAGTATGATGGTGTCTACACGTGGTTTAGGATTAATTATTGTTATAAAGTTGGATGATACTAACTGATGAAATATTTCAGGGGCAAAAGGAACTGGATTTTAAAAAAACCCTTTCTTTGCTGACTTGTGTCAAGATAGAGTTGGAATGGCCTATAAAATAACAAGGGGGGAAAAACAAGAATATACCATCTTTACACTTCCTGATTTTTTCCCCTTAAAAATATTTTCCTTGAGCAGGTTTACATTTTGAATTATGACTTTTTCTTTTAAAACAGTAAACAAAAGCTTTAAGACATTCAGCACTTTAACTTGCAAATGTTTAAAATCTCAGTTGGGTTTCCTAATTGTTCTGGTGATAACTAAGAAACCAATAAATGACTAGAACCAATAGGTGTCCCTAGTGCTTCTATAATTGGGTCATGTCCACTGTTTCATGATGGCCATGAACCCCTAACCTTTTCCAGATTCAAGTTAACCCAGGTGCAGGTTAAAGTCACAAAGAACCAAATGTCTTGAATATTTCAAGGTCCAACCCTGCTAGTGAAATCAGGCAGTTCAGGCAGAAATGTTGCTGCACAAGGAGCAGACCTGGTCTTTGCCCTTCAAAACAGTTGTGCTAGCTTCTGAAGCCTTAAATGGTTATTAAAAGGATATTCCTCACTTGCATTCCCTGGCAGCACTGTTTCATTGCTCTTGACACTGCTTTCATCTTACCCTGAACCCATGCATAAGACAGTTTTACATGGTCCTTAGCTGTAAAGTAAAAAAGTTTCCCCCTTGAGCAACTAATGGCGGTTTCATGATGTTACATTTTAACTCACTTCATCACCTATGCATTTGATGAGTAAATCAAGTGACCTATAGAGGGGCAGATTCAAATCACTTCAGGCTGCTGCAGGAACATCCTGCTGATCTTCAGGTGTTGTCCTCCTCTGTCATTCACTTTTTCTCCTCATCTCATCTCATCTCATCTCATCTCATCTCAAGTGCCAGTTGTAGAAAAAGCCATGCTCTCCTGAAAGCCAGAAACCATAGTTGTTTGGGGAAAAAACTTTGTCTCATAGTTATTCAGTAGCCTTCAAGAATGGTCCAATATTGAGAGAGGTGTGCTCTCTTGAATATTTTTTTGTACAAATTACTACAAGTCTATATAACAGCTATTTTGGAGACTACCTGAGATACATGTTTTTCAGAGAGTATAATTACTTGTTCTATGAACAAGGATTAGCACCTTTCCATATCTCCACAGGTTTTTCAGTGGGCTTAAAAGAGTGATCAGTCTACAAACTCCTTAGTGGAAAAGCTTAAAAATATGAATCTAGCTATCTTTCAAAACTTGTGAAACAGGTGCTTAGACTCATCTTCTTTTATTTTGCCATGCCATGCTTTGCCATGACAACAGGTAAGCTTTAATCACACCATCTATTAAAACTTGACATCTCCTATTACTGCCCATTCTTACATCACTGATTTCCTTGATTGATAGTAACGTTTTGATTGCTAGTAACATTTGAGGAAGTAATGCTGTAGCCTTTTCCAATTACTTTGCTTAACATGTCCTGCTCAGTTGAAATAAGGATACCAGCATTCACCTGCAAAGTGGGACAGAAGTAATTGTGCAGATTAGGGATTGGCAATGGGCACTGTATATATTGTTTTATGGTATAGTTTCCCATCCTTTTAACTGACCATGGGGAAAGGCCTAAGAGCTAAAATAGTTCCTATATGAACCTGTCAACATATTACAGTCTTTGTCATACACCCTAAAATGGAAAAACACAATATCCTTCTTGTCCTCTGAGGAAGCACACCTATTACAAATTTTGCACAAATAGAGATTTGATTACCTGTACTTCAAATCATGCTTAGGTAGGCAGTAAAAATATGTTTTAACACTGCTGGTTTTTTTATTTATTTATTCATTTTTGGTTTTGTGTTGAACATTTTTAATTCTTATCATCTTGGTTTCAACATTCAGTTCTTGGGTGATTTCATAAACCTTGGGCTGGTGTGGTACTCAAGGGCAACAGAACTAAATGGAGAAAATTGTTATAAATATAAAGGAATGTATTTAACCTAATTCTTACAAATTCATCTAGCAAGCTGCAATCTCATATTGTTATTGTTATACTTTGTGTATGTTGGGGGGTAGTAAATGCCCATGAGAGTAGAGCATTCATAAATAGGTTATATAGTACTTAATTTTTCAAATATGTGGCATGTATTTACACAAATCTACAAAAAAGATGGATATCTTCTATGATTGCTGTTTTAATTTCTAGATTCTGATGTATAGAAGGATTACATCTTTCAATGCCAAATAACAGCAAGGGCAAAGGAATGACATTTACATCTTGCATTTGAATCTCTGCTGGAGAGGAAATGCTTAACTGACTGAACTTTGTTCTGAAACTCAGGAAGGCAGTTTTTAAACCACCTCTTTTCTCCTCCAATCCTGAATCCTTTCAGGAAACAGCCCACCAGAAAGTAGATTAAAAAAAAAGAATGCCAAAGTAATTGTGATATTGTTATCCCCTCTGGTTGCCTCAGGCTGCCAAAAATTAAGCCACCTTTGACCCTTGTGCTCCTTAAAGCTTCATAAATAGCCCCAGCAAAGAGCTGCTCAGTCCCACTTCACCCAATTTAGAATCTCCTGCCTCTTGAACTGGTTGCTCTGAGCTTCAGCCATGAAGGCTTTTCTCCTCCTAGTTGCCATCTTCTTGTTTTCCCACCAGGCAGTCACAGGTAAGGAGAGAACTAAAATTCTCCTCTAGTAGGGATCTCCTGCTTGGGTGGGGGGTTGGACTAGATGACCTACAAGGTCCCTTCCAACTCTGATTATCTGTTATCTGTTATACTTGAGACCAATCTCAAATGCTTTTCACAATGATTCTCTGCATATTTTATTTTTGGTATTGACCACCAGTCAAAGAGGGTTAAGGGTATTTCAATCTACAAAAGGTAAGAGGGATGTTCCCACCCCATTTTTCCAACAAGAAATGTGTTAGGGGAATCATATCTACTGGTCTTCTATAATAATGCCATGCCTTGTCTTAGTAGTTTGCCCTTTTTTTAAAAAAAAAATCCTTTTTCTTTTTCTCCCATCATATCTGAGAGAGATACAGTTGGAAACATAATAAATAAGATAAATTAATATCTTGAACCATGGGGGTACAGTGGTTAGAGTGCAGTACTGCAGGCTACTTCTGCTGACTGACTGCAATTTGGTTGTTCAAAGCTCACCAGGTTTCAGATTGACTCAGCTTTCCATTCTTCTGAGGTGGGTAAAATGAGGATCCAGATTGTTGGGGATAATATGCTGACTCTGTAAACTGCTTAGAGAGAAGTATAAGTTAGGTTTAGCATGTAGGATTTTAGCGGGACCTTGCTAGTTTGTCAAGTGATCACTATTGCACAGTAGTTTGAATATTCTTTGACATTGTCCTTCTTTGGGATTGGAATGTAAACTGACCTTTTCCAGTCCTGTGCCCATTGTTAACTATTCCAAATTTGCTGGAATACTGGAGTGCTGGAGTGCAGCACTTTAACAGCATAATATTTTAGGATTTTAAATAGCTGAGTCGATATACTGTCATCTCTACTAGCAGTTTCTATATAGCCATCCAATTTTCATAGGTGAGAATGGGCTTGAATCTAGCTCACATTACTTCCTAGTACAGCATCAACACCCTCATCAATATCTTATTAGTATTGATTTGTTGGATAGTCAGCAAAATGTTTAGACTAGATTTGACACTTTTATCTACCTATCAAGTCCTCCCCAATAAATGGGGATAGGCAGATGTTGTTTGATGTTATTAGTTTTGTCACAAAATTTAACCTATTCCAAGTAAAGCTGCCTTCTACTATTGGCTGTTAGGGATTTTGTCAATGCCAACAATGGTCAAGTAGTGTTTCTAATAATAATAATAATAAATTATTAGTAATAATAAATAAATACAGATTCTAAAATGCCAACAATATTTCTCCAACCTTTTTTTTATGCAGCAATTGGCGAAAGAGACCCTGCTGATGTTGCTTGTTTCAAAAGTGGTGGCTCCTGTAGACCAGTATGTCCTTTCCCTGCTGAACAATCAGGAACATGTGCTGGTGATCTGATTTGCTGTCAATGGTAAGTCAACATTATATACCTGAATCTCTTAATCTGCTCTAAACAAATGCAGCAATGCAGGATTAAAAACTACAGAAACACAAATCTAGGAAAGACAAAAATCATGAAAAATAAAAGAAGAGGTGAAAAATGATAAAAGTAAAAGAAAGATGAAAAAGAGAAAGAAAAAGAGAAATATTTAAAGAAGTAATTTTTGATCTTCTTTGCAGCAATATAAATGCAACTGTTTTAATTGCCAGGAAACATTTTTTAATTTAAATACTACTAAAATCACTTTGGATTTGTCTTTTTCTTAAGATGTATATCTCTCTGATGTAATGGTGTTGAGGAATTTTTTAAGATCCTGGTTGTTTTTCCAGGCTTCTCAGTAGGGGGCTCTTCAACCTTTGTGGACTGTGTGTTGCTCTTCAGCCCTTGTTGTGTACTGCTTAGAATTAGTGTCTCCACATTCATGCACACACTCTTTGTTTATTATTGTTTTTTATTCTCAGTAATATAAACCACCCAGAATTGATCTCTAGTTGGGCAGCCTTATAGCTGTACCAATACCTATATCTATACTTTACATCTACATCTCAGATGCAAAAGATCAAGGCCACATGTTAAGTTCCAATTAATTGCTCATGCCCATGCACAAGAATTTACGCAACTAATGATAAGTGCTATGTTGGCACTAAATAAAGATCAACAGAATTTAAGAGTGGTTGATCTTAGACCACTTGTGGGAACATAATGGCTCTAGGCTAATTCCTGTACAATAGGGGAACAGCTGATGTCATAATAATATAGCATTATTTTTTATCGTTTGACATCACTTTGAAGTGTTATGATGAGATTTGTCCATCTTGACCATTAAGTCTTTTTCTCATACTCCCTTCTTTAGTTGTCCTGTGTGTTTCCCACAGAGTTCTTTTAATGAATGGTTTCTCTGCTTCCATTCCTTTATCCTTCTACCATGAATGTTTTTTTTCCAGTCAGCTGTATTATTTCCCATCATAACTATAATTCTCTTATATATAAAAGATATTCTGAACATATGCTGTTTCTGGGGATGGGAATAACTGAACTCATAAAGCAGGCCTATCAAACCTATCAAACTCACAGCCCATAGGCCAGCTGCATTATATGCTGGCCACACCCATGCCCAGTTTAGCAAAGGGGGATACATCACATGATGCTGCTGTGACGATGCAAGTTTGACACCTCTGCCATAAGGTAGATAACAAATGAAAGAATATACAATAAGTTAATAACTCTAGAACAATATATTGATGTAGGCTTTTATAGAACATTGTCTATTAATATTAGGATTTTCAAAACTGATTTAATGCTGATTTATGGTTCTCTCTCATTTCTAAATATACAATTCTTGTTTCTTTTTTAAAAAATGTCTATAGGCCTCACCAACATCCCGTATAAAATATCAGGAAAACTCTGAAGAGTCTGAAGAAGATATTGAAACATGGTGGCTGGAAGGTGTGCAAACAGTTCCCCTGAGATAAAAATATTTTGATTGAATATATAATCTGGAAAAAGATAACTGTTTAACCTGTTGATCTATATATTAAAGTTCTATAATAGCAATTGGTAATTGGTTATTATTATATTCCTTTACTGTGTCAAACTGGGATTAAATACTAATAAGAAAAAGTTGACCAGACTGAGATTAATAACATGACAAATGTATAATTTCAGGGGTGGGTTTCTACCGGTTCTGTCCATCTCTGTAAAACTGGTAGCTCTGAAGAGCAGCAGACATAGAACCGGTTCTATGTCTGCTAATGTTTTTGCCCACCCGCCCACCTGGGCTCTTACCTGATCTTTATTTCCTGATTTTTCAACTTCAGCTGCCGAATGAGGCATAGCTGCAGTTAAAAAAACAAGAAAAGAGGACTGTTTCAAAGGCTGCTTCTCGGCACACAGCATGCTAATGATGATTAACAGGCACATGGCTCATAGTGGGCAGGGAAGCTTGTAAATCCCGAACTGGTAGTTAACCCTGTCGTATCCCACCCCTGTATAATTTCCATGTGAGACATGTTACACTTGTCTCTGGGGTGGAAATTACCTAGAAATTACCTAGTATTACTTTGAGTACTGCAAGTGCTTCACACTCTTTTTGTTTAACTTTGAGTTGGACACAATTTTACAAAATTTGAGATAATGAATATCTCAGAGTTCTGTAGGGGAAAATGATCATTCTTATGTGAATAGCAGATTAATTTTCTAAGTGCACAGAGGGGCATTTCTAGTTTTCAAATCTAGAAACTGAAAACAAAAAATTATTTAGATGATTATTAATATTCATTGGTTTATCTATTCAGATATTGTCCATACAAGCTAACATTCATGAGAATGCTGGCATTCCAGGTCATTCAGTGTAATATGCATATGTACAACTATGGATAACACAAAACACAAAAAAAGTGAAATGTAAATGATGTTGGGAAAGGCAGCTTGGGGAGCTATGCCAGGCCGTGGATTGAGGCTGTGGTTGGCAGAGGCTGCCAGAAGCTCGGGGCAAGGCCGGGTGGCAAGAAGGAATGCTGAGGGTTCAGCCCAGGGCTGGGGCCAGGTGCTGGGGGCTCAGTGCTTACTTGGTCCTGTAGGCAGGTCTTGAAGGAGGTCTGTTGGGGAAGAGTAGATTAGAGTAGTCTCAAATCAGTTTAGGCAAGCAGAGCAGACTAGCATGCGTAAGCAATAAGACCATGTGGCAGTGCATTTTTATAAGGTGGGATTGGGATGGGCAGGCTGAGCGTTGTGTGGGCGGGTCAAGCAAGTGGCGAGAGGATGGGTGGGGAAAGCGAGCAGCGAGATGGTGGGCGGGGCAAGCAAGTGGTGACTGCTCGGGTGACCGGCAACCAGTTCAGGTGCATGGCCAGCCAGAAGTCACTACCGGTTCTGTGACCCACACCAAATTCTTGCTACTGGATTGCCAGAAACTGTGAATCAGCTGAATACCATCTCTGTCAGAAAGCTCAAACTGCCCAAGGAGCTGCTGATACAGTTCTGCAGAGGAATTATTGAGTCTGTCATCTGCACCTCTATAACTCTCTAGTTTGACTTTGCAACCCAATAAGACAGACACAGACTTCAGAGAGTAATTAGTACTGCAGAAAAAACAATTACTACAAACCTACCTTCCATCAAGGACCTGTATACTGCACAAGTCAAAAAGAGGGCTGTGAAAATATTTACAGACTCCTCACATCCCAAACATAAACTGTTTCAACTCCTTCCCTCAAAACAACACTATAGAGCACTGCACACCAGAACAACTAGACACAAGGACAGTTTTTTCCCGAACGCTAATGCCGATGCTGATGATAATAATATTGTTGTTGTTGATGATAATAATAATAATTGCTCATCCATTTTAATAAACCTTCCTTATAAAATTGATCCTTTTCTTATATTTCCATATTTCTAACTTCTGTTTTGTTGGCTAGCCATTGATAGAATAAGTCTCACATTAAGAAATACCCAGTTTCTTCCTTAATTTTAAGTGTTAATCTATCCATTTCTGCACATTCTAATATTTCTTAATTATGCTCACTAATCCAATAATGTGGATTTTAAAATGACAAGTCACAATACGTAATGATATGAAAAAATATGTTACACAGGATTTATAAATTTAACTGGATGATGTCTTAAGTAAAAGGAACAGACAATTAATAAACCAGAAGTGTGTCTTGAGCAACTTTCTTACCGTGTAATAAGAGACAAGTGTAACATGTCTCTTATTACAGACATGTTAAACTTATAAAGGAGTTCTTTTAAAAGGACAACAAGAAAATGAAAATAAATGAACTTTCAGGGCACTATTTAAAAGGATGAAACAACATTTTTAAAAGCAAAAACATCAGAGGTTTTTTGCAGCACATTCAACCAGCAAACAAGTAAATAATTCTGCAGGATTCATTTACATAAGAAACTTCTTTATATTTATTTTTTATTTATTTATTTTGATTTGTCAATCGCTTACAAGATAATAGGTATTAGTATATATGTAGTTATGAATACATGAAATGGGTACATATAAGAAAAATAAAAGGACTTCCGGTTGCAAGGCTTCAGCGGCGGCAGGAATCTGCTACTCTGCGGGTCCCTGCTGCGCTCGCCACTGAAGTACCTCCGATTCAATCGGATTTGGGGGTTGTCGTTACCCCAGAGAGGTAACGGAAGACAGAGGAGATTCAGGCAGGGGTTTGGGGATGTCGCAACCCCTTTCCCCAGCCAGCTAGACTCCTTTTTCCTAAGGCGGTGGAGTGGCGGTCAGCAATGGCCACCACAAAGAAATCTTCAACCGGTTAAGACTGTGAAGGAGGAAGAGTTTGAAAGTGAAAGTTTTTTGGCTAAACCGGGACATTAAGATATATCCAAACACCCTGGAAATCTGACTCTTTGAACGATATATTGTTTCCAAAGGAGACTGTCAAAGCGACGAATGAAAGTGCTGAAAGGGAAAGTTCACTCTCCTTCCTTATGGAGATAGCAAACGGACATTGAAAAACCTGCTTTTACATAGAAGGTAAAAATTAAAAGTTCTTTGTTATAAGTGGGAAGGGAAAGGACAAAAAACAAATTATACTAAGACTTTGTTGGAGGAGACGCTTGAAGATTATAAGACCAGAAATTAATTGTAATAAGGCTTTAAAATACATTTTGGGACTTTGTAACTGATACTGCCCCAGGAGGAGAAAGTGTAAAGGGAAGAAGATGAAATATTTTGTGTCTGTTTGGATTGCTTGATGACTTTGGGACTTTTGGAAACTATTCTAAGATTAAAAACATTTGGGTTGTTAAAAAAAAAAGAAGAAAAAGCTTTTACAATGGCATTATCTGTGGATGAATTAAAAATGGAATTTGAAAAATTAAAGCAACACCACCTCCTCTATGGATTTCACCATGTGATCGGTAAACATAATAGTCTCTTACTGTGGTAATGGAGTCAGGGAGAGATGCATTGAGCCATGTTTCATAGACAAATATAATGTCAAATTTAGCCGTATTTAGTAAGAGGAGAAATTCAGGTATTTTATTCACAAGGCTTCTTGCATTGAGTAGCTTGCATTTAAGGCCAGCAGTAGTTGGAATTGAGGTAGTTAGGGGCGGACGTGCCTAGTTTTCAGTGATGGTGGATTGGCTGAGATAGGGTTGTGGTTGAAGGTTAAAGCTGAGTTGTGGGTTGTGTGACTTACTTTTGATAGTCAGCACAGTAGTCAATGTACAGATCCTTCTCTCAATTGTCTAGACATTTTTTGAGTTCAGTGTGGAGTACACGGGAGTGGGCATGCTGCTGTATGGTTAGGTAAGGGCAAGAACAGAGGTTCTTATGGTTGGTGTTGCTTTTGGCAAATGAATTTATAGTATAAATGAATTTACATTTGCTTGATTCATTTTTGCAAATGACCCTGCAGAAGCATGAGGCCACAGAGCCGTCTCTGTTTTTGAGCTCTTGGCCAATCCAGGAAATGTCAAGTATTTCATCAGGGGAGATGGTTGATGCTTGATAATCACTGATGATGTTTTGGACAGTTGTGATGTCATCATTGTCATTGATGTCCTCTAGACCAAATAAGATGGCATTTGGATGTTTCTGTTTGCACTCAACAGCTTCTCTGATGAGGATTGGGATATTATTATTTGTCTGATTTTTGTTTTTTTGTGGATTGGGTTGTGGATTGGGTTGTGGTTGTTGGGTAGAGATGTGGTTTGTAGCTATTGGATGTTCAGGTTTTTGCATTGTGTCTTTTTTTACAAGGTTGGATAATCTTTCTTTTAAAGCATCCAGGGATGCTACTATGGTGTCAAGGGATGTTATTCATGTTTCTATGGTATCAACTCTTTCAAACAGATCCAGTTTGGGTCTGCATGATTTACAGAGATATGGAAACTCATTGGATGATTCTAGGTATTGAATCATTTGCTTGGGTAATCCCAAGCAGTCATGATGAGCGTATTTGTTACATAGAGAACATTGGATGGAATTTTCATTATCCTTTAGAGTTTTATAGCATTTAAGGCATGTGCAGGAGTCTTGTGGTTCACTGGTGGGGATTACTTTCTCTTTAGGTTGTGGTTTGGCATTGGATTTTTTTCTTGGCATGGTAGGTTTGTTAAGATAGTACATTGATTAAATTACTTAATGAAACAATTTTGGGTAATCAATATAGTCACTATCACACCAATCAATCAATTGCAATAATCTTTCTAGTCAAATAATTTTGCTAAACAAGAATCAGCCTAATCAATTAATTACACTAATTGCTAATCAATTAATTATACTAATCATTAATCACACTGTTCAATTATATTCACTAAATCACTAATTTTACTAATCAATTAAATTACATGAATCTTGATCTTTTAAACTAATCAGTAATCACACCATTTGCACTAAACACTCTAATCACATTAATTAATTAAAACAATAAATCAATTAAACCATTAGTAAATTATTTTATAGAAGTTGAATATCTAATCATTGATATAGGTAATGAGGTAGAAAAGTTGTAAGTTTTGAGGTAATGAATTAATCAGTGTTTAATTAAAGTAATGAGGTAGTATTGAGAGTCTGC